AATTCAGTGACTTTTTGAGAATAGAATTTCTACTAAGGAGACATTGTATTGTAATTGCTGACATGCTGCTCCTTGGGCTCTCAAAAACTTCATTGATATCTTGAAAAAGAGGCACCCTTTGGAGAGAAGAATTTTTTCCCTTGACATATGCCCTTTTTTGGGGTAGAAAATGGCCTCAGAAAAACTTAACATATGTAACCTGGACTCTACAAAAAAAGATAGATTTTTCTAGGTTAGAAATAGTTTCGGAGTATAAATCCCATGATGGACTGCATGTCTCTTGTCCTACTAGATTAGATAATTTCAGAGTGGTTTACTACCAGGTTGGTTGTAGGTTACCTGATATTTGGAATTAATTTCCTCCTCACTTCCTTCTCCTAGGATAGCTAGCTTCAAAGCTCAGATCAAAACCTACCATTTCTTTCCCTCTATCACTCCCCAAAAGGAATGTAAATTATTAATCTCTGAAACTTTTTCCCCATCTTTTCTCTTAAAGACCAGCTCTCCAAGTCACTCTAGCTTTCATAGATTGGCCAATAATAGGTCCCTGGTCTTACTTGGTCATTGTTTGGGCCTTGATTGGCCCAGAGTGAATGTAAATAACAATTGTTTCTGTTGGCCAGAAACCCTGAGGGTCTTCTCCTCCCAGATCTTTTTTTTTTTAAAGAGTCCATTCATGGGGCAGCTAGGTGGTGCAGTGGATAGAGCACCAGCCCTGAAGTCAGGCGGACCTGAGTTCAAATCTGGACTCAGACCAAACACTTGATGCTTACTAAGTGACCCTGGGCAAGTCACTTAACCCCAGTTGCCTAAAAGCAAAAAAATAAAAATGAAGAGGCCATTCTTTGCCTCCTTTCTTATTAAGCCTTAATCCCTGAACAGGCATTGCCTCAGTCATGTTAAAGACCTTAGCTTGAAAAGACCAAGGTTCCCCACTGCAGCCTGGATCATTTCCAGTTGTCCTGATCTATCTCTGACCACTGGACGGAGAAAAAAAAGTGAGCTTGGTGACTTTGCACAGCCCTCCCTCACTTAAATCCAAAATCACTTAAATCCAAATCACTTGCATGTTCACTTCTAGAAGGAAGGACAAACAGCAACAAGGACTTTCCTGATACCTGCCTCAGCTATTCATCTTTCCTTCCCCCAGAAATTTTGTATTTGCTTTGTATAAATGTTGTATGCACTCTTGTGTATATTATGTTTTCCCTTACAGGATGACTGGGACATAGAAGAGCCACTACCAGCTAGGGTGCCCTATGCTTTTTGTCTTGCATCCTTACTACCACCCTAGGCGATCTGAGAACCCTACCTCTGGAGTGAGGATGCAGAAATATGGGAAGAACTACTGCTGGAGTTAACCTACCTTTTTACCTTCTTCCTTACCCTGGTTTGTAGGGTCTGTGCCAGCATTCACCCAGGATGGTTCCATCTTTCTTCCTCTTTACTTTTCTCAGCTGTTTGATTGCTTACTTGGTTTGAATGAGATGGAAATCAGCACCATTGCTTCTGAAGAGATAGAGGATCTCTAGGTTTTACTACCTGACACTTCTGCAAAGACCCTCCAGACATGGCCCAGCTTCTGCTCCCTGTAGTACCTCAGCATTGTTGTCTTAATTACTTAAGCTGAGGGCCTTTGAGCCTTGCCACCTGCTCAGCCATTGAATCTTTAGTACTTCTTAGTGTTTCCATATACCCAGCAGATAAACATTCTTTTATGTAGTTTTCTCCAATTAAAGTATGAGCCACTTTAGAGCAGAAACTATGTAACTTTTTGTATTTGTATTCTTAGTCCCTAGCACAGTGTTTGGCACGTAGCAAGGGCTTAATAAATTTTTTCATTCACTTCATTCATTTATTAGTTGATTTATTCCTTCATTTCCCCACAGAATTCTTGAAGAGAAAGACTTTATTTTTTACCTTTGTGTATCACTTCCTAGCACAATGCCTACATATAGTACATGTTTAGTAAATGCTTTTGATTGATTTTTGGCAAAAAGTACAATTTATGATTTTTAAATGAATCCTTTATTCCCGAAGACTTCTTTTCCTGAGTTCAAATTTGGTCTCAGACACTAGCTGTATGACCCTGGGCAGGTCACTGACCCCCATTTGCCTCAGTTTCCTCATCTATGAAATAACCTGGAGAAGGAAATGGCAAACTATTCCAGTATACTTGTCAAGAAACTCCAAATAGGTTCACAAAAAGTCAGACATGACTGAAAAAAGAGTAAATGCAGCAAGATTGATTTTCACGTGCCTTTAAAATTGTCAGTTAAGCCCTATGTGCCTTTAAAATCGTCACTTAACTATATAGACTTCTTGAGTAAATATTTGGGTGTTCGCATCTAGTCTTCTAGAGAACAGTGTTTTCAGTACCACTTCCACGTTCTCCCATAATATATATTGGGTCTTGAGGTAGTAGGGTCCAGATGTGATTGTACTATAATCAGTAATCAGAAGAGATCACATAGTAATAATCCATGTAAGAACTAAATCAAACAGATTTTCTTTTCTTTTCTTTTTTTGCCTTTAGTGCCATTTGATTAGTGTTTGTGCTGAAGTACAACTCCAAGGTCTCAATATCACTTTCTAGCCTTTTCTGAACCTTGTTTTCTTTGCCATAGACATCTTCCTCCCACCAGAACCACCTGGACTCTGGCCCTGGGACTCTAAGTTCTGATAGGTGAACTATTTCACCAACAGTCTGGCCTCCATGTAACTTTTTGGCCATTTCCAAACTCTTCACCTTCTGACTTGCATTTTTGTGTTGTCCTGTCCCATTAGAATGTAAGCCTTGAGAGCAGACACCATCTTGAGAGCAGAGAGGGGGAGTTGGGAGTTGTGGGTTGGGGGGGATGGGTTGCTGTGGGGAAACTGAGGAAGGTGGAAGATGAGAGGTTTAGTAAGCAATTTGAGGGTACAAGGTGCCCCGCTGTATGTTTGAAAGTTGAATTCTGGAATTGAACTAATTGTATATTTGATAAACTTAGAGACTCTTTAGGATTGATTCAGGAGCAATTTTGCCAGGTAGATTGAAGTTGAAAACAGTTCTGTTTTTTATTTTTATTTTTTAAGTCTTTCAGCACCTAGCATGGTGCTTGGTACACAGTAAAGACTTAATGAACAGTGATTGATTGATCATTAAAGTAGAAGTCCTATTAGTTATTAAATAGCTTCATTCTAGAGACACATTCCATTCCATAATTCATGTCATGTTTTACCCTAAGGTGTAGTTCCCACCCCCCCCCAAATAGTTAAGTTTTTGTTTTTTTGATGTAAAGGCAAATCAATAAAAAATCAAAGTTAACAGTTTCTTTAAAAATTATTTGTGATAGTTACACACATTCATTTGATTTTTTTATTAGAAGAATCTGTTTCAAATTAGTTGTCTTAAATCACTGTTATGTATATAAAAATTATACATGAGACAATATCAGTTTGAGAATTGGTAAAAACAAGCAGAAGTAGGATAGCTCCCTATGATGATGTGTGAAAGGAAACTCCTAGCAGTACTATAGCTATTAATTACTTTTGACTTGAAATTGATCATTAGAAAAATTAATATTTAAAAGAGTAAACAACATTGTAGCCCACAAATTAGCTTCTTTATAAAAGACATTGTATTATACTATGGCCATAGTTACCAAGGACCATATCTATATGAAAGGAAAAAATAAAAATTTTAGAAGGAGATTAATGTTTATAGATAGTTGTGTTTTCCTGGAAAACAATTTTTTTTTTGGTTTCTGGAGTTTGTCCCAAAATCTGTTTATCCTTTAAGGATTCCGAATATTTTGAGAAAGTTTTAAATGTAGAAGTTGCCCAATTTCCTAGCAGTACACAGGGAGAGGACAGGGAAGATTTGTTTCAAATGTTATAATTCATCATAAAAGAAGTTCATGTTGATCTAGACACATGCATATTGCTTATATAGTCTATTTTTATAATGCAAAAGAAAATGGAGAGTTGAGCCAATTATTCAAATAATTTAAGTAAAAAAGAATAATGTCTCTATTATACATCTATTTCATACTGGAGCAGCATGAATTTTTTTGGTGGTTTATTTTTATAATTGCATCAATTCTCTGTTTGATTTTGCATATGTAGTAGAAATGTAAAAAACATGTGTACATGCTGTGTGATCCAGGTGAGTATATTTTCTATTAACAAAGCAACTCAGAGGGGGAGAAAAGGGTTATAATTGTTTCTTATCACTTGCCACATCAGTTCTTTTTAACTCCTCTGTTAAACAGTTATTTCTCAGATACAGAACTTCTCCTATTATGAAGTTCGCATTTCTATCAAACAAAAAATTATTGAGGGTTTGTTTTCCCCCAACCATGTGGTTTAATGCTTCCTAAGGATTAAAGATAGAATAAATCAGTTTCATGATTTACTCTGAGCATTTTAAATTGTTACACTTTCAAAAAATTGAGATATTTATTTAGTCTTATTGAAAGAGTTCAACTCATTTAGTCTCAATAAGTCCCTTTTGGTTACATAGTGATAATATTTACTTGTGAAAGATTATTTTTATTTAATCATTGTCTTACATTGTAATCAGAGTAAGTTCAGTGACATTACAAAACTTGACAAATGGTGAAAGTTGGAAATTTGCAGAAAATTACATACATCAACCATGTACATTTCCTACTACTTAAAACTTTAATATATTGAATAGCTTTGTTTTACCTTTTTTAATCGCCCATTAACTTTGTTTTTGCAGTAATCACACTTTTGAACCCCCCAGATTGCATCTTCACAAGATATATTATCTATATATTTTTAAAATAACATTTTGAATTTGTTCCTGACATCTTTATGTTTGTATGCATTTTGCATCCTTTTTTTTGAAATTCAAATGTAACAGATTTCAACTTTTTTGTGTTACATTTTTCTTTTTTTGGCTAGTATCTCTCTCTCTTTTAATTTTTTGCAAAACTCTTGTTTTTGAATTCTCTTTTTTCCCTTTATTTTCCTCCTCACTATGACCCCAGGAGCCAACACAAAGAAAAGCGCAGATGATATAACCAGTAATGATCGTGGTGAAGATGAAGGTATTTTTTGTTTTTTCAAAGCTCAACCCTGATGCATGACTATGATTTTTTTTTTCATTTTAACATCCTTTTTCCCCCCCTTACTTGAAAAAATGAAAGTACATTTTATTGTACTACTTTATTTCTTCTTATATGGAGACCATTCATTTTTTAAAAATTCCCAGTTAACATAGAGAATGACTTCCATATCCTTATGATTTTGTCAAGGTTGTACCTAAAATGTATGAAATAAATAACATAATATTATTTCCAACAAGTGTTTTTTTTTTTTTGCTCCTACACAGGAAGAGAAAGTGGAGTTTTAAAACATGCATGTGTATTCCCTTTTCTTTCTTGCAAAAAGTTATTTTGTAAGTGCATTCACCTTATATTTTGAAATGGTGACCCTCTCTTTTCTCTTTTACTACACATGGTAAATTCTAGAATTTTAGGATTCTTAAATAGAGAGCTTTAAAAAAAACTTCAGGTATTCAATGTTTTCTTTTTCCAAATAGCTTGATTCTAAAATGAAGTATGTATGAAAATGATATGGTTCACAGTGAAGTACACCAAAAAGTGTTTTAATGAGATGTTGTTATTTCTTTCAGATCTATTTTCCTTAGCAGAATTTTTAAGAAAAATAGGGATTTCTAAGAATTTATAGAGGTCAAAAAGCTAGCTGTACTCTTTTTTTTTTTAACAAAAACAGCTATTTTGAAAATACATTTTGTTGAAATGTTTTGTTGCTATGGAAAATTTCTTCTTGAAGGATCCCAAATTGTATGACAAACTATACACCACAGGTGAAATGCAACTATTTTTTTTTTTAAAGATGGAAGGTATGTAGAAGCCAAGCAAACAACTAGTACATTGTATTCTGCCCCTTGGCATGATGAATGATTTTTGTTCTTAAACATAATAAGGTTAACCTTTACTTGTAGAAGATACTTGGTAAAATAACATTTCTCCTACCTCAACAAAATACCAGGAGCTCACTTTATTTACCAAAAAGAATGAAGGTCTTTGGTGAACCTCTGGTTTCAGGGTCAGAAGATAATTTAAAGCTGGTAAATGGGATGCCGAGTTATCCCTGCCGGCATGGTGCACTCCTTCAAGGTGCTATTTTGTCAACTGCTGCCCTTGTTTTCCTCCATAAATCAAATGCTGGATGAGAAAAACATTTTGCCCCATTGCTCTTTTGCTTAGTCTTTTCTTAACGTTATCTCACTGTTGGCCTCAAGTTCACGGCCCTGACACTTCCTACAACAGTTCTATAACAAGTCTTCTACCCTCTAGAATAGTATTGTCTATGACTACACATTTTTACCACTTAATCTCCCTTGTGGTAGTGAGTCCAAAAAGACTATAATTTCACTGCCTGTTAGTGGTAGTTCTTTGGCTCCTCCACTTATTCTAATGATTTTCTTACAATGCTTTTTTTCTTCCCAATATTATTATTTTTTTTATTTTAAGGTGCTACTTTCAAAATACTCAAAATGCAGCCATTACCACTGTAAAAAAATGTTTTCTGATTGACATTTAAAACCCAAAACGTATGGTTCATTTGAAACTGATGTGGCATCTGGTTATTACTTCCTCAAGTGAAAGAAAATCTTGTTCTATTTTTCATTAAAGGTAAGAGATGTTAATCTGATACACACACACACACACACACACACACACACACACACAACACACACTATTCCTTCTGTCCTCCTAATACACTCTATTCATGCCTTCATCTTAAATATACAGGTCAATGGCTGGCTATATTAATGCCAGTTGGATCAAATTGGGAAAATGATTGGAAAGCACAATGCAAAGGAAGTCTACCCTTCAGTTAGTTAACACTTAGGAAAAATATTTCTGCGGTGGATGATTTTACGTGGCTTTGAATTTTCTGTTGTGAGACTAGTGGAAATTGATTTTGAAATGCATTACATCTGTGCACATCACTCTTTCCTGTACCTTACTGTGAACAACATTTTAGAGGCACATGTTTTTGGTTTTTTTAGCATGTTCTGTGTAGTCCCTAATCTGCCTTTTCTTATCATTGAATAAATGTCTAAATTATATAGTTATAATTTACTTCACAGCTTTAACCATTATAAAGATTCTTTAAAGGGTATGTTCATTTTCCAAAAAGTGAAAAAAAAAATGTTTTGTGTGTATTTCTCAGTTCAGGAGGTCAATTAAAAACAAACAAATACATTATATATAATAGCAGAATAATAAATGCACAAATATCTGTCCTTATTTGAGAGATACAATTTACCTGTAATTTTTAGTGTTAAACAGTTGTCTGGGGACATTGAAAGATTAATTAGCTTTCCCAATGTCACACTGCTCTACATTACAGACAGAATTTCTACTCAAGTCTTTACGACTCTAAGACCCTTCCTCTGTTCAGTCTGTCATATTATTTCTCTTGAATGCTTTTATAGAGGTTTAGTTTAATAAACTGAAGACTTACAAAGCAGTTCCAGTAGTCAGAGCAATGTCAAATTGGATGAATGGCCAAAAGAAATTAATTGTTTTAAGTGAGGGAGTTAGACTAAGTGATCTGTAAGGTCACTTCCAGCTCTAAATACAGTGAACCTATTAAATCAGAGGAAATTATATATAGTATTGTTCTCCATTTCATGTAAAATTAAGCTTAGAATAGCTATTAGCAGCTAGCTGCATATTTTCATTAGGCTAAACTGATGATTTTAGCTTTTTCAGAAAGGCATCCTCAAATTATAGACAATCTTCAAATTAAAAGATTCTTTTTTTTTTCTTCAGTGTACAAAAACATATCACTAAGTATTTGAAGTACATGTGCAACAAGGATTTCTATCACCACCTGAGAGGCTTAACATTTACATAGCCAGATTGAATGGGGAATATTTTTCCATTTGTATTTATATTCAACATGAGAAACTGTCATCTTAAGAAAATAAGATGAGGATTTCTTTTAATGAGATAAACATTTTTCTTATTCATTTCCAAACTCTTGAGAGACTGTGTTTGTATTTTCGTCCTCTGTTATGTGAAGAGATCCATATAGTGTCCCCTTGGCATTTCTATTTTAAAAGTGTTAAGCAACTGGCTTTATACTATGACAAGATGATAGCTCTATTTAGACAATTTCAAATTTTGCAATAGCAATTCTAAAATTAATTAAATGATGAAGATATTTCATAAATGGTAGCTTGTGTACATCTCCAAATTATATTACTTGAGTTAGAACAGTAGTGAAGAAAAATGTGTCAACCCAAAAGTTTTATTTTTTTTCACAAAATACCTGTATGTATACACATATACAAACACATACACCCCTCTTTCTAGACAATTTCCTTTTTTTTCAATGAAAGAGAATTTCTAATGTACATAACATCATATGGGCTACATAACAAAGGCAGAGAATGTTAGACTAATATCACTTTCTAGTATTTCATGTAGGACTACAAACATATAAGTGATGATGAGATTGACCTTCAATTGTTAAATGAATTCCTTTCTACATATTTAAGTTAAAGCATGCAATTTGGAAAATAAAATATTGCTTTATTGTATTGTTCTTGCTTGAATCTTTTTTCCCTAGACATTCATGATCAGAACAGTAAGAAGCCGGTCATGGTCTATATCCATGGTGGGTCTTACATGGAGGGAACAGGCAACATGATAGATGGAAGCATTCTAGCAAGCTATGGAAATGTCATTGTCATAACCCTCAACTACAGACTGGGAGTTTTAGGTAAGTGGTTCTCTTGTAATGATTAAAATGAATAATATGGTTCATTTTGATGGGGATGTTTTACTGTCCTTGAATTACTTCGACTCCTAGAAAAAATCCTTTTCATTTGCATTAATGATGTTGAATAAGCTTTCTTTTTCTGAAGTGAAATCTCAGTGTTAAAGCTTAATTATATATGCATGTTTTGTTTTTCTAAGACTTAAAAAATGCTGCTTATGCTTTTTTCCAAAGTTGATTCTCTCTAAAATTACATTGTCTTTTCATGCTTATCAAATTAAATTAAACTTCACAACACCTTTTCTGCCTTTGGGCCGACGTTAATAAAATTTTGACTGGCACCACATAATATGTTCACCTTTGGTAGACAAAAATTGTAATCATCCAGTGAAATTGAGAATTATTTCCAGATGCTGTAATAACAACATCAGCCCTATCGTAAGGTGAGCAAGTCATTAACCACATTTCCCAATTATTTGTGGATTTGGGAGTTTTAGCTGAAATAAATGTGGAATCTGGTTACCTTGACCTACATGATTTTCTTTTAAAATCAGTGTTGTGTATCATGTGTTTTTTATTGGACTTTTGTTTTTACAATTCAGAATATAAGGACCTTGGTAAAACAAATGGAAACTTCAGGGCTTAAATTTGTTGTTTTTTTTTTCTATTTATCTGTCATTCTGTACTAGTGATAAGAAAACTAAGTTTTATTTAGTGTGACATTTCAGCATTTATCTTTCATGAGTTAAGGAGGTGCTTTCTCTAGTTGTATAGCCTACAGTTCTATTATAATAATCAGTAACAAAGTTGTCTTTTACACTCATCTTTGGGAGAACATATGTCTTATGCAATGTATGTGCATTTAAAGGACAGAAAATAAGTTTTTAATATACCATGATATTTGTTGTTGAAAATACCTGTAGTAAATTCTAGTAATAAATGAATAAAATAACTAAGAGACGTACATCCAAATAAGAAACATAATGTTAATTTACTTTTTAAATAAGTAGATGTTATTGACAGTATATTAATTCTAAAATGCCAATTTTGTTTGTATAGTATTTCATAGTAACTATGCTATCAATTTGTACTGAGTAGTGAACTAAGCATATAGGAAAAAATGTAGAAATCCTATCTAATCTAGGAATGTGGGACAAAACTGACTACCAGTTTTCACAGAATTGACCTATTTCTGACAATGTTAAATTATTTGAAATGTACAAATTTATTTTTATTTCAAATGACAATGTTAAGACCCTTTTCCCTCCCTTCCTTCTTTCCTTCCTTCCTTCCTTCCTTCCTTCCTTCCTTCCTTCCTTCCTTCCTTCCTTCCTTCCTTCCTTCCCCTTCTTCTTTTTCCTCTTCCCTCCTCCCTTTTTAACCCCCTCCCTTCCTTCTTCCATCTGTCACTTATTTTAGGAATCTTTTTTTTCTAATTATTTAAAAGATGAACCTTTTCCCTTAACTGTCTATGCACTTTCCAGAATAGCCTGACTAGTTAAAAAAGACTTCTTGTTATTGCTTTGGTCTTCTGTAATTGAAAGAGGAAATCAAGTTTCTTTTCTTTTCTTCATCTTGCACAAAAGGCCCATTCTAACAAAGAAACAGAGAAAGAGGACAAGCTTGTGGGTCACTTTACAAATCAGTTTCAAAGGAAGCAGTGTATTTTACTGCATGTAGTAATATCAAGTCTTGAAAGAGCCTTTTGGCTCTGTTTTCCAAGTGAAGCTATGCAAAGTTTGCCAGAACTACACAGTATTCTGTTGTACATATTATATATCTATGTTATTAATAATGCTGGATTTTAGGAAAAAATGATTTTTCTATGAGCACTGATTATTTTAAGAGGGTCTAATAAGGTTTCTCTTGCGTAGCCTTTTTTTTATGCTTTTAATATATAAATTATTTTTCTCATAAGAGGGACTAATGTGCCAAAAATTACTTTGTAGAAAAAATAAAAATTAAACATTCGCTTATATTAGAAAACTCAAATTTTTTTCTCCTACTCAAAGGTCCAAATTTCTCAATACTTGAAAGTTTTAGGGTAATTTAAGTAATAGCTTTGAATAAGACTGAAAAGAGGTTTTTAGCCAAGCTTTAGAAAAGTTGTTTATATTTCATGGACCTGCTACTATAAAGAGATGACAGATACAAAATAATTTTTTATTTAACCGAGTTAAATACTATTGTGTTCATTAATGGTTAGTTGTGTATTTGGTTTCAGAATGTTTTTCAGTTTTATTGTTCATTTCAGAGAGTGAACTTTAGATATAAGGTATCTGTAATAAAATACTTTTTATGTACATTACTGTATTTTAATACCTACCAAATACCTGTGTATTTTAATGAAAAGTCATAAAGTAAGAGTTGACAAAATATATTTCCCATTCATGTATACAAATGCACATGTCTACATATTTTTATGCATGTATATATAGTGTGATGCATTTATTGTTTGTACTGTATAATATGTATCCTGTACATGATATAATCATATATATATGTAGTATAATAAGTTATGGAACATAATGTAGAAATTATAATTTTAAAAGATTTTATATTTGTTTAAAGCATTATTTAAGAAAATATAATCTCATATTAAAGACCACATGTTTTCCCATGTAGTGGTAAAATCAAAATGCCAAATGAATGGCCAAATAAATCCTATTGAAATTTTGTAATTAGAAAAGAATTCAGGAGACCTGGGTTCTAATTCTGGTTCTGACCCAAAGCATGGGCTAATATTAGCTTCATAGTCCTCCTCTATAAAAAGAAAGGGCTAGATTAGATTATCTCTCAGATACCTTTCTTGAAATTTCATGAAATTTAAGTAGTATTTGTGTATCTCAATTGGTCTCTTCCTGATTTTTTAAAAAACTGCCTTAAACCAAATCAAGGTGGAATCAACTAAAAAAAATAGCTATAAGTAATAGAGCAAAAGTAAATGTCTTGAATTGCTTTCCAGTACATAGATGTTTTATTCTTATTATTTTCCAAGGTGTCATATCTACCAAACTCTCACTTTCACTACCTCAACAAACTTAACAGACTTCAAAATTTAGCACTGGGCAATAGAATAGTGTTTACTATTTAAGCTCTCTCTGATTTGTTCAGTTTAGCATTTGTAATGACCTGGTAAAATGATGATGGTGGAGATGGAGATGGTAAGGGTAGGGAGGAGAGAATGATATGCTGCCCTGAATATCTCATAGGGGTGTTGTGAACATAAGGGGAATAATGAAAGTAAAAGCACTCTGTAAACTGTGATGCACTATACTAGGGTAAGTTTTTATTTTCTTATTTTGTGGCCTTTTTACTTGGATCTTAGATACCATTATCCAGGCTTCTGCAAACTCCTTTCATTTTCAAAAATTTTGGTGTTGACTGCTATCTGCCTATTGTGATTGGCTGAGAAAGTCACTATTTCTAGATCAATGATCTACAATCTCAAATTCCTCCCTAATATTTGACTCGCAATATTCAACCATATATTAAAATGATTTTTTTTTTTTGCAATTGCATGTCAGACCTGGAGGTAAGAACAGTTGTGCTGCTTGAACTCAAGTTTCTTCTAAAGTGTTTGAAGGAGAAATATATATTTCTCATAGATAGCTAACCACGATTGGGTTGTATGTTGGAGTTTTTTCAAAGGCTGTTAGGACATAGCATTTGAGATTTAGTTCTGTGTGTCTATTTAGTTTCCTATTATGACTCACTTTACTACAGCTTCCTCTGTGTCTTGCTTCTCAGAAATGTTGTGAAGCATTTGTGGTATGTGAACATGGCTTAAAAATATCTTCCCCCATTCCTTATCCTTCCTTCCATCATGCCAAAACCAACTGTTATACTCCAGACACACAGTTAATCAAGGTCAATTTGTTATTACCCAATTCCTAAAGAGTTGTGTCTTAAGAAATAAGATTCTTCAGCACTGTGCCCTCACATCAGTGTTTGTGATGCTCTCTTGCCGTTTAATATTCAGTGTGGCTTATTAATGGGATTAATAGATTAATGGAAAAAGATGATATAAGAAGCAGTAATAAATTTATGTCCAACTCCAAGATCTGATACCCACATGCTTGTAGAGAAAAAAGATGGGATCTCACTAAGCTTGCTTTGTCAGATACATAACTATACTGAATTACCACCTCGATGCAATTCACAGGTCTAGGATGAATTGATCCCCTCTCTAGTTCTGTGGCAGTTCTGAAGCTCAGCTGTAGTGGAGGGCTGCGGGAAATTCCCAGGTATACCACGGTTGCCCCTTCTTCCCCCATTACCTTTCCCAGGAGAACAGAAGATAAGAAGATTTCTGATTTTCTGTACAACTGTACCTGACCTTGTTAACAATTCTCATTTGTCAGAATTTTAAAAAGTGCTTATTGGATACTAACCACTGTGGTTACGGGGAAGAGGGATCTCTTAAAAGGTTAGATAAGGACAGAACAGGACTTGAACTCAGAAAGATCTGAGTTTGAAATATGCCACATATACTTAACTAGCTATATGACCTTAGGCAAGTCATTTAACCTCTCTCAGCCTTGATTTCCTTTTCTGTGAAAAGGGAAAATCATTGAATGTACCTTACAGAGTTGTGATGAGAATTAAAAGAATTAGCATATATAAATCTGCAAATTACTTAAAGAACTGTATAAATGTTTATGTTTATTATTATTATTATTATCATTATTATTTTGCAATTGTAGAACTTACAGGTCTCATATTGTGGACCAAACCAGATGACAATAGTCCAGTAATTCAGATTTGAGGCTTAAAATGTGATAATGCACCATGGATAATACAATATAAATAAACCCCACTTTATTTGATAGATTAAAAGCATCAATTTAAAATAATATGAAGTTAAAATAAAATATTACTCAGTTTCTCTTCCAGAATCAGCACTGAATATCTGCCTGACTAAAAGATCAGGTAGACAAGGAAGTCAATAATAGCTCAAGTTAAAGCTTAAGCCTCTAGCACTACTAGTGACAGAGCCAAAA